CTCGATATCTCCTCAGAAACAAGCCAGAAACCCGAACTTTTTTTACCGTAAGCATAACTCACTACGGGCTACAAGATGCACGAAACCCCGATTGAAAAGCGCTCCCGCACCTTGGAAGATTCCCTAGTAAGTTGATCCAATGGAATAATACGATTAATGATATTGACTAATAGTTCATGAGGTATTTCCGGATAATGATTAATTGTCAATTGGTTGACATTTGGAAAATAATTGGCACAATTTGTCTTGAGTAAAGTACCATAAATAAGAACATGCTCGACCGAATTAAAATTTATTCTTTGAAATGGACGAATTTCTTTGTTCAATTGCCAATGAAAATCGTAGGTTTTTCTTCTATAAAAAAAGAGTAGAACCAATAACAAGAAAAGACATCCAGTTAATATTTGTATACCTATATGGATGAGTTGAATGAAAATCTTTAATATTAAAAGATTGAAAACCATCATGTTGATGTGTAAAGAACCAATGTTTCTCAATACAAAACGATGAAGTAAATGGATGAATTAATTCATCATAATCTAATTGATTTCGTAGTTGAACATCATTATGATAGATATCAAAGATACGTAAATTCTGCATATGAGAAGAAATTAATTTTTCCCATCGTTCTGCATATAAATATTCTTCATCATCTTCAATTGAAACAAATAAAACTTCGACAAATTTTAAACACTTTCGAACAATATTTTCAAATTTGTTAAAACTAATTTTTTGTAACTTAGGACAAATTCTTTTTAAATTTTCAAATGATGGAAGATTAAGATTAAACGATGGCACATTCGGATAATTGGAACCGGTGACAGTGTGGGTGTGGGTGTGGGTGTGGGCGTGGGTGTGGGTGTGGTTGTGGGTGTGGTTGTGGGTGTGGGTGTGGGTGTGGGTGTGGGTGTGGGTGTGGTTGTGGGTGTGGGTGTGGGTGTGGGTGTGGGTGTGGGTGTGGGTGTGGGTGTGGGTGTGGGTGTGGGTGTGGGTGTGGGTGTGGCTGTGGGGGTAGGTGTAGGTATTGATGTAGCAATGACAGTCATATTCACGCCCACACCCACCCTCAAGACCAATCCACCACCTCTAAACCCTCTGTCACAATTATAACTACCGTCCGTCCTACTCCAATAAACAAAAAACATCACTTGGAATGTAATGAACAGACCAATGTAAGTCGCCAAAACTAGAAATGTTAAGGCTAAAAGTGAAAATAAAACAAATTACTCAAAAACTATAAGCGTCTTGACAGTCTTACCCATAGTATTCTTTTCAAATGATCCACCTCCTCGAGTTATGTATTCTTTTTTCCTAAGCACAAATTAAAATGATGTCCAAGTAACCGAAGTATACTTGATCTCTTTGGTACCAAAAATATACTTTCGATTGTAATAACCTAACAAAAGAGATGGAAAATTGAAGAAAATAAGAGAGTGTATAACGCTTTCGAAGGATCGTGACGTGCGAACTCATCCCATTGTGGAAACAAAAGTTGAATATTCGGCAACTAGCATCAGATATGTCAATACGACGAATCCGTAACGATTGCAATTACCACCATAGTAGCCCATTTCTAATAGTTTTAGAAGCAAACAAAGATGAAAATATCGCACTGGATTTCTCCTAGCACACCGTAGATACCGCTATCATGCAATGAAGATAAGTCGATGGGTTTTTTCCAGATACCTGTGCTCTCATATACAGAAGAAAAACAAACATGCCATGTAATATGAATTCGAGGAATTCTGATATGGTATAGATCGATTCTATAATAGAGATGGTTGAACGGATTGAATTATCCTTCTTATGAAAAGAATACGAGTTGATTGCCGATTAAAATGCGGCAGTTGTTGTATCTTAAACTGGTTTGTGGTTGACGAATTCCTGGATACATTCATCAATCTGAAGGAATTATGATTCGGAAGGTCTTTGCACAGCATCTTGCTTTGTCACCACACTATTCGCGGAAAAATCGTTATCTAACCAGGGTGGCTCATATCTAAACTTTCTGAGTCAAACAGACAAACTTGGTTGAGTTCTTTCGAATCTTCATCAAATAAATGTGAAAACTTCGGATTTTATCCGAAACTTAAGTGTACTTTTTTAGTACACTAGAAATATGGAAGTTCTCCAAGAAAAAGCTATTTTACAGCTCTCCAATTACCTTATTCCTCATTACTGAGTTTAAAATGTACAGTTCACAGGACATGAATCGTATGGTAGTACGTATTTTTTGTCTACTCTTTCTGTTTTATTTTGATTACTCATACATTGCATTCACTTTCGGCGTCGAGTGCTCCAGAACGATGCCCTTAAACAGTATGCTTTAATAGCATAAAACACGTGGCAAGATAAGATGAAATAAATTTTGCAGTGATCGCGATTACTCAACGAACAAGCAATAATTTTAATGATCAAAAACGTAAAACAAGTAAAAACCGGTGTAGCCAACCTGCGGCGAACGATTCAGAATTATAATGTCGTGTGGCTAGATGGCAAATTGGCTTCGGAAAAGGATTATTCTCTCGAAGAACTCGGGAATGTTGCTAATGATATTTACATATTCTCAGAGGTGGATGAATGCGTCAATTTTCTGACTAATATCAAAGACCTCAGGATATTTCTTATTATATCGGAGATCCTGGCACAACACGTCATACCTTTGATTCACGATCTCGCTCAACTGGAGAAAATCTATATATATGCTGATAATGATATTTCTTTACGTAATAATTGGAGTGAGTCTTGGCAAAAAGTCAAGGGTGTTTATGAAAATATCCTGCCAATCTGCAAAGACCTCAAAACAGATGTTAAATCATGGATTCAGGATAATATTTCATTAAGCTTTATTAATCCGGTTCACGACGATTCAATTCATAATCTGAATCAAATAGATCCTACATTTATGTACACTCAGTTATTCAAAGAGATTTTTCTAGAACTTGACTTTAGTGTACGGGCTAAAATGGATTTCGTTCAATTCCTACGAGACAAATATCTGAACAATGTTTCCAAATTAAAAGATATCGATGAATTCGAACGAGATTATTCTCCTGAATCTTCCATTTGGTGGTACACACGTGAGAGCTTCATTTATGAAATACTAAATCGATCGCTCCGAACATTGGACTCCATTACTATGATGAAAATGGGATTTTTTATGTGTGATTTACATCGACAAATTGAAATTCTTTACAAGCAGCAATTCAGCCCCTCTGAAGGGAAGATCTTTGAAGTTTTCCGTGGACAAGCATTGTCAAAAGTTGACCTTGAAAAACTGAAAAAGAACATTAATGGACTTATTTCATTCAACAACTTTTTATCCGTCAGTCGAGATCAAAATGTTTCCCGAGTCTTCGCTGAAAGTGCATCAGACCAGTTGGAAAT